TCCACCTGCCCCTGCCTCCCGAGTGCTGGGATTAAAGGTGTGCACCACCACCGCCTGGCTTGGATTTGTGTGTGTGTGTGTGTGTGTGTGTGTGTGTGTGTGTGTGTGTGTTTACAGGTACATGTGGAGAGGTATATATGCATATGTGTGTGCATGCAGGTGGTGGAAGGAAATATATATGCATATGTATGTGCATGCAGGTGGTGGAGAAGGTATATATGCATATATATGTATGTGCATGCAGGTGGTGGAGAAGGAATAATGCATCTATGTGTATGCATGCAGGTGGTGGAAGAATATATATATATATATACTCGTGTGCATGCAGGAGGTAGGGGGTATATATGCATCTATGTGTGTACATGCAGGTGGAGGCCAGAGAACAACCTCAGGTATTATTCTCAGGAGCCCTCCACCCTGTTTTAAAACAAGTTCTTTCACTGGTCTGGAGCTCTCCAAGTAAGCCAGGCTGGCTGGTCAGGGAGGTCCAAGGATTTTCCTATCCCTACCTCCCCTCTCTCCCAGCACTGAGATTTCAGGTGCAGAGCACCACGCCTGGCTTTTTATGTTGGATGCTGGGGATCAAACCCAGGTCTTCATAGTCACAAGGCAAGCGCTTGGCCCACTGAGCCATCTTTCACGGAGCTATCTTCTTCCCCAGAGAAATCCTCCACACTCTGTAGTTTCCCGTGAAGCCGAGGAAGGAGAGGAGAGCCTGCTTTTTTCCTCTTTCATTGTGTCTCTTCTGTAATTGGGAGGATGCCCTAGGTCCCAGAGGCTGGAGCACTAGGCACAAGCTTCAAACTCAAGATCTGTACAGTCGCATTCCCACGGGTGGCACTACCCATGGTGCAGGGCAGAGACCCATGTGTTTCCTGTGTGTCCTCATTACTAAGCAGAATGATTGAGCTTAAGGAGAGCAACATTTATTAAGCTGCTATTGTCACCAAGCCAGGGATGGCCATTGATTTTCCCTGCACAACCTTGGACCCTGAAACCTTAGCTTGTTATCAAGTTCACTTTTCTATACAAGACACTTCCTCTCTCTTATGAATTCAAATTCTCACCCCAGCTCCCTGGTTTGCAATCTTTTTTTTTTCTTTCTGAGACAGGGTTTCTCTGTGTAGCTTTGGAGTCTGTCTTGGAACTCTATAGACCAGGCTGGCCTCAAACTCACAGAGATCCACCTGCCTCTGCCTCCCGAGTGCCGGTATTAAAGACATGTGCCACCACTGCCCGGGTGCAATCTTTAACACTATAAATGTTTGGGTTAACAGGACCCTAAAATAGTCTTGGCCCTCTAGTCTATGAAAACATAAAAGCTCATGAAATCTGAATGGGAGATTTCACACCTAAACTTCTTTTTTAAAAATTTTGTGTATGGGTGCATGTGGATATGTGCATGTGAGTGCTAGTGACTGAGAAGGCCAGAAGAGGGCACTGGATTCCTTGCAGCTGAAATTATGGGGGATTGTGAGCTGACTGCTGTGGGTGCTGGGAACCAAACTTTGATCCTCTGCAAGAACAATATATCCTCAATCACTGAGTTATCTTTGGGTCCTCTGCAAGAGCTGCAGGTGATCTTAACTTCTGAACCGTCTCTCCATGCCAGATTTCTTAATTTATAAAATGATGTCTACTCACCTAAGAGATGAAACAATATGCAACAGAATGTAGTGTGGGGGACAATCATTCTGGGCAAGGATTATCAGTCATTAAAGTATAAACAATAGCCAAAAGAGGTGAGGAGACCATCTCTTCAGATCCCCAGAACCTATATAGGCTGAGTGTGGCAACACATGCCTGTGATCATGTGCTAGGGAGGCAGAGATAGGAGGATCCCAGGAACTCACTGACCAGACATTTTGGCCCATCAGTGAACTCCAGCTTCAGTGACAGATTTTGTCTTAGAATGCAAGGTGGAGATTGATGGAGGAAGATAGTGGACATCAATCCTTGCCCTCTACAAGAGCTACACAAGTGTGCACCCATATACATGTGCACCCACAAACATATAAATACAATAAGATGAATAAACAAAATTTGAAAAGAAGCATATCAAGTCTGACAAGATGGGAAATGGCGTGGTGAGTAAAGGCACTTGCTGCCAAGCTTGATGACCTAACTAAGCTCCTTCCAAGGAACCCATATGGTGGAAGGAGAGAATCAACTCCTAAAAGTTGTCTTCATGCTAATAGAATCAAACCATAGCATGCACAAGTGCACACACACACACACACACACACACACACACACACACACACAGAGAGAGAGAGAGAGAGAGAGAGAGAGAGAGAGAGAGAGAATAACAAATGTAGCCAGGCAGTGGTGGCGCACGCCTTTAATCCCAGCACTCAGAAGGCAGAGGCAGGTGTGTCTGTGAGTTCGAGGCCAGCCAGAGCTACACACACTGTCTTGGCCCCCCCAAAATTAAAAAAATAAAACAAATGTAAGTTTAAAAAGCATACAAATTAAAGAAAACTGAAATAAATTCAGGAAAAAATATCACAGTCACCAGTTGCTGCTTTTTCCAAGTCAATGAGGCTGAAAGAACAGGGTGCTGCATTCTGCAAATTCACGGGTTAAGCATAAGTACCCTAAATAGAAAATGACACTTAATGGCTGAGCACCACGATGGAGGAGGCTATGTACAGAGAATTATACTTACCCCATTCCACAAGAATCCAAACTAGATGTTATTTCCAGTGGTTTCAAAATTAAAGTAGCTTAAGCCCACACAGCTAGTAGCTTGAAGGCTGAAATGTGGAACCAAGCCTGTGGAACCTTACAGCAGGGCTTCGTTCGAGGAGTACATAGCAGGGGCTGGATCACTGAGAGAGAGAGACTTCTCATTTGCACTCAGGATCACTAGATGTGGTGGAAGCCAAATCTCCAGACCTTTCAGTGGCAGGAGGAGATCCGGATGGAAATGCACATTGGCCCTGCTGAGAATCCCTGCTTTAGGACTAAGGATCTGACTGCACATCTATTAAACACATTTCCTTCTCCAAGGCAGATTTTCAAAGGGTCCTCTGCTTACTTTTTTCTATATTTTTTCATTTGAAAAAATGTAGCTGTTTGTTGTGGTTTACAGCTGTAATCCCAGCACTCAGGAGGATGAAAAGAGGGTTTTTGTGAGTTCAATGACAGCCTGAACTAAACAAAACTCCTCAGCAAGGGGCAGTGGTGGCTCACACCTTTAGTTCCAGCACTTGGGAGACAGAGACAGGCAGACCTCTGTGAGTTCAAGGCCAGCCTGATCTACAAAGTGAGTTCTAGGACAGCCAGGGCCTGTTACACAGAGAAACCCTGTCTTTAAAAAAAAAAAAAACAAACAAACAAATAAACAAAAAACTAAACTCCTCCAAATATTAAATTAGCATAACAACATACATTCATTGTAGCAATTGAAAGAATAAAAGTAACTATGTGTTCCACATAGATAAGCCACATCTCTATCTGGCTGCTCTGGGCTGTTTGCAGTTCATATGATAAGGTGCCTTAGCAAGCTATCTTATTTTCCTACAGCTCTACTCAATCCAAATACACACAATATTTGTTAGACAGTCTGGGCACCCCTTACATCTTCCAGGGTGGGTTTCTGAAGGTTGGGTGCATGAAATGCAGCCTCTTTAACGGTCCAGGAACAAGTGACTCTAATCTGCAAGTGTAAGGAGGCATTGAGGCCCCTCACACAGACTGTCGGGTAGAATGTCAGGTGAGGAAGTGACCTGATCTTGCCTGATCTTGCCCAGGCAGACTGTCATGGCTTTTTCTCTTGCCCTGTGTCAGAGAAGAGAGCATCCTGCCAGGCATTAAGTGGCTAGCAGTGGCACTCCCAGAGCAAATGCCAGGGGGTGGAGGGAAGGCTGTAGGCAGATGTGTTTGGTCTCTTAGTAAGAACTTGGTCTGCCATTCCTCCACGGCTTCAGTGTCAGAGCCTTGGGCAAGAGAAGGACTCTGGGGGAAACCACACTCCCTTCTTGAAGGACACACCCAAAATCTCTTGCATAGCCCAAGATGTATGGCCTCTTTTCTATAGGCTGAAAGGAATTTTGGGCATAGAGCAAGCTGGAAACTATCAAAGGAAGAGACGTTCTCTGGAAGCTGAAAAGGAAGAAGTGAATCTGCTCAGTGAAGCTGATGGAGGCTATGTGGAACCAGGGCAAGCTGAGCACTGGGTGCTCCAGGGTGTTTGAGCCAAGTGCTGTCTCCCTGTCTTGGCAGCAGATTCAAGGAAGACTGCAGATGGGTCCCTACAGGCAGCTGGTAACACTTGCACTTTAAAACTTATTTCTCCCTTGGAAGAAGGGAGTTCTGACAATGTGCCTTATACTTTAAGAGTGAGAGCCCTGCTTTTGTGCTTTGGCAACCCTTTTTGAAGAATAGGGAAGTCTCAGAGAGGAAACTTAACAAGTCATTTTCATAACCCACCAATCCAACACCCAGTGCGGGTACCTAATCCACTGAGTATTGGCCAGATGGTGACTACTAGAATCCTTGGAAGGGTAGATGGATGGATGGATGGATGGATGGATGGATGGATGGATGGGTGGATGCATGCATGCATTCATGAACACATGGATGGATGGACTTGTGAACATGCTGATGGATAGACAGATGCATGCATGCATATGCGAATGCATGCATAAGTGTATGGAGGGATGGATGGAAGCATGCATGGATGAATGGACGAATGCATGGATAGATAGATAGATAGATAGATAGATAGATAGATAGATAGATGAATGCATAGGTGGATGGAGGGCTGAATGGAAGCATGCATGGATGAAGAGACTTATGCATGGGCAGATGGATGCATGCATAGATGGATGGAAGGATAAATATATGGGTGGATGGATGGATGGATGGATGGATGGATGGATGGATGGATGGATTCCTATTTGACCCTCAGGCCCACCCTCCCACAGTTTCCCAAGAGGCTAGGAGACTCTTTTGACTTCTACCCTGGTTGACATCCACGCACAGCTAGTGCTCACCTTGTGCTGCTTCCACGTTGCCCCGAGCGGCTTCACCTCGTGTTTGCCGTGTCTGCCTTCCTCCAGGCACAGGTAGCACACCGGGCTCCGACAGCTCACGCAGTACATGCTGTAGTTCTCCATTTCGTGCTCGGGGCATGTGGGGAACTTTCGTGGCGCGCTGGCTCCGGCACCCCCTGGGCTCCTGCATCCTCCTGCGCTGGGGGCGGTGGATGTGCCGGCTGAAGCAGGGGTAGCCTCTGGAGGTGCGGGCGGAGGCGGGGGCTGAACTAGCCGATGCTTAGCGAAAGGGCCCCGGGACGGGTGGCATTTGAGCTGGCAGGTGGCGCAATAGAGCACGTCGCATTGCTCGCAAAGAGTGGCTGCCGGCTCCGGTGGGGTGCGGTCGCACAGCTGGCAGATGGCCACCGCCGGGGCTGCAGACGCCCCCGCAGCAACCCCACGGCTCTGCTGGTACCGCTGCACTATGCCCTCCAGCAGCCGGTTGCGCTGGAAGCCTCGCAGGCCGCGGTGATCCAGGGAGGCGCTGCGGTGGCACTGCGGGCAGGTGATGGAGCTGGAGGACGAGCAGAGTGAGGAGCAGGCAGCGCCCCGGGCCGCGGCGGCAGAAGAGCCCGGGGGCGCAGGCACCATGGGCAGCACGCGGACTCCGTTGGGGGACTTGAGGCTGGGGGTGTAGGAGCCGTAACCGCTGTCAGTCTCGCTGTACAAGCTCAGCTTGTCCGCGTGGTCTCCGCCTCCGGCCGCCCCGCCGCCCAGGCCTCCAGCTGTGCTAGCTCCAGCGCCTCCGCAGGTCGCGCCGGCCGCAGCGTCCTGATCCGGAGGGGGCGCGGCGGCGGCGGCACCCCGCGAAAGCAGGAGCGGTGGGGGCAGGTGCTGCTCGCCGTCCGGGGTCTGAACCGCGATGGTGCGGGCGCATGGCAGGCAGACATTGTGCGAGCAGGGCAAGATGATGGGCTCCCGGAACAGGGAGCCGCACACAGGGCATTTCAGCTCCTCCTCCATCGCCGCGCCCGCGGCCCGAGCCGCTCGGGACCAGCGAAGAATGGTCAGGCTCCGAAGACAAGCGCAGCCGGGAGGGCGAGGTCAGCGCTGCTGAGACGGGAGGCGGGGGCATTACACGGGCATGCTGTCTTCACCCGCGGGGGGCACGCCCCTCTCTGTCCTCAGGCCACCGCCCTAAGAAGCTTGGTCGCCAGAGAAGGGAGGGGTCCTCACCTCCTGCAGGCGAGGCTCCCGCACCAGAGGCGGCCGTCTGAAGGTGGCGGGTAGCCCTCGAGGTGGCCTCTGAGGTTGTCCGGGTGATGAATCAGCAGCAGCGGCGCCGTCCGGATACCTCGTGCCTCCCCTCCGTGCAGGATCAGTGTCCCGCTGCTGTCAGCCAGCGAGGCTACTGAGCTGGGCTCCGCATCGTCGTTGCCCGGAGTCTTCTCCGAGCGCCCCGCCCCTACCCAGCTCTTGGCAGAAGCGCGAGCGGCTGGGCCAGGACTGGTTCAGCACCACCAGACGGCGGACAGCGCCCGCGAGCGGGAGGAGAAGGAGTCAGCGCCGACTCCCGGTGCGCACCGCCAGCCAGGCTGCTGCGCTCCCGCGGCCACCTTGGCGTCCTCGGGCCGGGAGGTCGTCGCCGTCCCGCTCCCCGGCTGCCGTTCCCGGAGCTGCCTCTTCGCAGGCCGGTACTGACCCGCGTCCCCGACTCGTCTCGCCAGCTCCGATTCCTGCGGCGCCCCTGACCTTGGCCGCACCACGCTGCAGCGGCGGGCGGGGAGCGAGCGCCCGCTGGCTCGGGAATCCCCTCCCGGCCCCGCCGCCTCCCGCGCCCGCCGCGCCGAGCGCCCAGGAGTTGTAATTTCCAGAGCGAGAGTAACGGGGCGGGGGGCGGGGAGCCAGGCGTCGGCTCAGCGAATGAGGGCTCGCCTCGCGCGGCTGGCAGTCGGGGGCCGGTCCGAGGGCTTCGCAGGGAGGATCATTGTGGAGAGCAGCAGCTCGGGGTTCGGATGGAGACTGCGTGGTGAATTAGCACGGCGCCCCGCCCCGCCTGCCAAAGCACTCCTGGCCCTCTCCCGCCCTGCCCACTCCCGGCCACCATGAAAGCGTAAACAGCGGCCGCTAAAAGGCCAGTCGCTTGGAAAAAAGGCCCCGCAGAACAGTGCGACAGTCGCTTCCTAAATCTATTTTCCCCGCAAAAGCTTTCCAGGCACAAAATGTCGGACAGCCTCGCGCCAAAGGGCGAGGTTTGATTTACGTATCGCGCCACCAGCCTTTTTGTTTCCTCGGTTCTACCGAGGCGGGTCGTGGGCCCGGAGCGGCGAGGACTCGGCGGGGACACCGTGAAGGTTGCCAAACACAACCTCCCCAGGCTGCTCGCGGGTGGGGAGAGGCAGGAGGCGGCGAGCAGGTGTTCGCTTTATGAATGGGAGATTCCTGCAACGCCGCCGCCCGCGCGCCTGGCGGCCGGGTTCCTCCCGCCATCCGCCCGGCTGTTCCTCTCCTCCGCCGCGCCAGGTAGTGCCAGCTACCCAGAGAAGGGAAGGGCGTGCTGGGCGTGGAGCTAAAGTCGGGCCGGGGAAGGGAAGAGCGCGTGGAGCTAAAGGCGCGCCACGCGGCCCTCTCTTCCTGTGGGTTTCACGCTGGCTGGGAACAGACAAGGAAATTGTCGGTTTAAAAAGGATGTGTCAGCCAGCGTGGTGGCTCGTGCTTGTAATTCTAGCACTTGGGAGGCTGAGGCAGAAGGATTGTTATGCGTTCAAAGCCAGCTTGGGCTGCATAGTAATTTCCAAGCTAGTGCGGGTTACATAGTAAGACTCTGCTGGATAAAAACAAACAAAAACATCAACCGTGGTGCAGATCACTTCGCTGAAGTGATGCAGGGCCACTGCCAGTGTTTGGAGAGTCAGCGGTAGGGAAGAATGAAGCCACAGAAGAATGAGGCAGCTGCCTTGGCCTGGCTCAATGCCTAAGGGATAAAACATCTGGCGGGAGGGAGGTCTCCGGAAAGGCCATGGCAAAGCACCCCAATAAAGAACCCTGGGGTTCTGCAGCTTTCTTCCACTTTTGCCTCGTCTGGGAAATACTATAATAGCACTTATGTGTGTGTGCCAAATTTGTTACCGTAAATACAGATGTGGCCTACTTTCTAACCATCTCACTTCAGCTAAACTGAATAGCTTACAGAAGCCTGGCTCCACGTTGAAGAGTAGAGCCCTGCTAAACCATAGACATCACATAAGCCCTGCCTCTTGCTCCTCAGGAAGCAATGCTGTCCCCAGCTGGGGGATGGGGACAGCCCTATCCTGATCTCCTTGTAGATGAAGCCTCAGTCACCTAGTCCTGCCTGCAACACATTGAAAAACCCTTCAGAAAGTCACCATTGAACCCAAAGTCTAGGAGAGGGACAGCATGGGTTATTGAACGCTCTTCAAGAGCCCTTTCTGCTGAACCCAGCTGTACAGCTCAGCCCCTCCCCCTGGTGACCACAATGGAAGTCAGAACCTCCTAAAAGCCTCATGATTCCATAGTGATCAGGGAAACCCTGAGCTCTCCCGGCATCACATACTAGACCCCTGTTTCACATTGTCATTTTCAGACCAAGGCAGCCTGCTTAGGTTTGGGCAGGGTGGCCCTTCTTAACCAGGTATGTGTCCCTCTGCATGAGCAAGGCTTGGCACGAAGCCACGCCTAGCCTGGCGTAGTAAGTAGCCTGCACATAAAATCCCAGCATTTGGAAAACTGCAGAAAGAAAGAAGAGGGTCTGTTCCAGGCCAGCCTGGGCTAGAGTGGGACCCCGACTCCACAGACAAACACACACACACAAAGAAGCAAGCAAGGTTTCTCCTTTGCTTCCTGTACATCAGAACACTCAGGCATCTCCCAGACCCCAATACTGTGTTCTGTAGCCCAAGTCAACTCAGCTATGTGTAAGAGTGGCATGCGGGTTCCGCCTGTATAGAGGACTGGCTTCCTGCCATGTCTGCGTAAGAGTCACGGTTCCAGCCAGTTCTGGTGCTTCACACGCATAACCGTAATCGCTAATGATTGTCACTGTTGTCTATTAAGAATCCTGTCTGCTGCAACTGTGCCGTGAACCATGTGTATACAGAGATTGTCGCTTCTGGGGCCCGTGAGACCGCACAGTGAGTGAAGTGCTCGCTGAACAAGCCTGCCCACCTGAGTTTGAGCCTTAGAACCCAGGTAAAGGTGGACAGAGGGAACCGACTCCACAAAGTCGTCTTCTGACCTCCACACATAGTACACACACACACACACACACACACACACACACACACACACACACACACCATGTGGTTGCTGGGAGTTGAACTCAGGACCTCTGGAAGAGCAGTCAGTGCTCTTAACCACTGAGCTATCTCCCCAGCCCCTGTTTTTGCTTCTCAAGATAGGGTCTCTCTGCATAGCGCTGGCTGTCCTGGAACTCGCTCTATAGACCAGGCTTGTCTTGAACTCAAAGATCCGCCTGCCTTTGCATCCCAAGTGCTGGGATTAAAGATGTGTGCCACCATCACCTTCTAACGTGTTTATAAAGTCTGGGCTTTGGAGCAGCTGAGTCAAGTAACGATATTTACATGGCAAATGTTCAACGGTATGAATTCATATTCTCACATAGAGCCCTATTTAGTCCTTGCGGCCTGGGAAGCAGACATCACCATCCTTCCAAAGTGTTCAGATATACATATTTTCCATATTGATGTTGACAACAAAAATATTCAACAAATGACCCATACATCTCTTCTCACTTTTATCTGGGGCCATTCTTGGTGAATGGTTGTGCAAAGCACATTAGTAACTAACACTCCACAAACCATAGCCACCAAAGCAGAGAAAAGCAGACTCTTGCAACGATCACTTCAGAATAACATGGTTTTCACTCTCAGACGTCCCAGTAACCCTCAAGAGATAGGTTCATGTTACCTCCCCTATCAAAATAGCATGGGTGACTTAAAAAGTTACCCTGGCTAATGCAGCAAGGTAGGGGAAAAGTGGCCCTACTGTGTTGCCTTCAGAACCTTTTCGAATTCAAGTTGCAGTTGAGTGAGATTTAAGGCTTCTTCAGTAAAAATTGATGTTGTGTTCTCACCTTTAAATGGTAAACTCTAAAACAAATTTTTAAGTGAAAATTCATGGTATCGCTCTTTTGAGTTCAGTTTTTATATTTCTTGTTTGGTCCTGTTGCAGAGTGGGAGGGTTCCGGGAAATTAGACACCGATACCCCAGGAATCAGTGGCTTGCTGTGGCTTGCATTAGCTCTTCAAGAGTGCCTGTCTCCACATCTGTGCTTTGTAAGTGACAGCTCCTCTGTGGCATTGCTGAGGAGGGACCATCATCAGTAGCCACACAATGAGCAGCTGACCTCTTTTCCAGATAACAGACTCCAGGAAATAACCTTAAAAGTCTAGCTACAGCCAGGCAGTGGTGGCACACACCTTTAATCTCAGCACTCGGGAGCCAGAACCAGGCAGATCTCTGTGAGTTCGAGGCCAGCCTGGGCTACAGAGCAAGATCCAGGACAGGCACCAAAACTACACAGAGAAACCCTGTCTTGGAGAAAAAAAAAAAAAGTCTAGCCACTTACCTGTCTAAACATTGTTGGCTAGTGCATAGGGATCATATTTCAGGATTTTAAAATTCTTAGTTATATGTATGCATGTGTGTCTGTACCTGCGTGAGTACAGTTGCTTGCAGATGCCGGAAGAGAGCCCTGGGTCTCCTGGAGTTGGAGTGGCAGGCAGTTGTGAGCTGCCTGGTGCTGGGAACCAAACTCAAGTCCTCTAGACGAACGGACACACTCTTAATCGCTGAGCTATCTCTCCAGCCCCAAGAATCATATTTTAATTGTGTGTATGTGAATGCATGTGTGTGTGTGAGCTGGTGCATAATGTGCACACAGGGACAGAGATTAACCTTGGGTACTTTCTTGTTCTCCACCTTGGTTTTCTTTTCTTTTCTTTTCTCTTTTTTTTAAGACAGGATCTCTCACTGGCCCCAGGATCATAGATTCAGCTAGGCTAGCTGGCCAGGGAACCCCAGAGATCTTCCTGTCTCCACCTCCCAGTGCTGGGATTGCAAGCATGTTGCTATGCTTAGGGGTTTGTGGGGTGGGGGCAATACTAATGATCAAACTGGGGTCCTCCTGCTTTTGTGGAAAGTATTTTACTGATGCAATCACCTCCCCACCCATGGTGTTTGTTTGTTTGTTTTTCATTACTAAGGCATGACCCAGTCTGGGAGCCTTATTGAGATCCTGATGATCCAGTCTTAGAACACTTGTCTTCTCCTGCAGCATCTTCTACAGTGAAAGACTTTAGAACCAGATCCCAGGTGAATGAAAGGCATTTCAGTTTCCAGGCTCTTTGTGTACCTAGGGTATCTCTCTGGTGTGTAGAAACTAGTATTGACACAAAAGCACTAACACAGTCTGGTGCTCTCCCAATGGCAAACGTTGGTAAAACAACTGCAGAAGCCCCTTGAGTCTTCTTGGCACCCTTTCATTCCTGTTATTTGTTTTATCTTCATGCAACACAACTGGTCTGGACAATGATGAGACTGAAGGATGGCCCTTGACTTGACCCTCTGGGTAAAAATTTGCTAGCCAACCTAAATGTAACTTGATAGCCAATCGAGGCAAGGTGGTTTCATTCAAGGGTGGGGACCTGACCACAAGTAGGCCGGTCAGAATTCTTTCTTACACACCGTAAGAAATGGTTGTCCAGTGGCGGGAGAGGGGGGACGACAGAAATCCAGATGTGGTGGTACATGCCTGTAATCCCAGCACTTGGATGGCTGAGACAGGAGGAAGGCCAGAAGTTCTAGGCTAGCCTAGGCTACAGCCTTGCCTCAAAAGATAAAACAGAGGGGTTAAAGAGGTAGCTTAGTCGGAAGTACAAGCACGAGGTTCTGCGTTTAGATCCCCAGCACCCACGTAAAAAGCGGAGTGTGGCCGAGCATGCCTGTGATCCAAGCGTTGGGGGGACAGAGAGGGATTCCTGGGGTTCACTGGCCAGTCAGGTCTAGCTGAATCAGTCAGAGAAGAGGGGGCCTCATTCCCCTCATGTCTCTGAAACCATCCAGGGGCCTTGGGTTCTGCGAAGCATCCTCACACTCTCTCGACATCTCTCCTCTCTTGTGCTCACATTGGCTCCCGCTGTCACCCTTCCTCTCCTCCTCTCTCCCTCTTGCTTCCTCTTTTCCTCCCTTGCTTTCCTAGAACTACCCGGGGTGAGGTCTTCTGAAGGGTTATGTGGTGGCGCAAGCCTGTTCACGCAGTCGAGGGGTCCCTTCTGTGTCGTTAGGTTCTTCAGCTGCCTGGGTCTGAATGTCCATGCTCCTGCTCAACCTGCCTCTGCTGGGTTTTGACCTTGAATCTTCCGTGGTTTGCCCTGTTCCTTTCCACGTTCCGTTTTCTGCCCACAGTTCCCTGCTTCCCCCTTTACTCCCATGACCACTCACTTTAATGGACCATTTGCTCTCCTGGACTGGGTTTCTGGCTTCCTCTTCCTGACCACACCGGGCACCTGACTTCACCATACCCTTGTTTCCACTCA